AATGTGGTGGAGAAAGTGCTGTTCACTGGAAGAAGCTGCTGCAGGTCTTTGTAACAGAGGAAAAGTGCAGAACTTGAATGGAGGATCCATTCAAGCCTTCCAGAGATATGGCTGTTCAAATTGGTGGCTGTGATCTGAGCCTTCCAGAGAAAGAGGAAGGAACAAACAGGGCTACAGACAGTAGACGAGAATGGCTGTCCTTTCTGCTGTAACTGAGTAGGAAGCTGAGGGGGTGGGTGAGGTGAGCTAGTTAGCAAATAGCCCCCAAGACTGTCTGGCAAATTGAAAGGTAGCAGAACTTTCCCAGGCAAGTGGGAGGGAGTGAATCGGGACCTTGGGAGCAATTACTTAGCCACAGACAAAAAGGAAAATGGAAGAACAAGCTGAGACCCACAGAGCTGGATGGAAGGGAAAGAAACACAGCGTTTAAGAAAAGCAGATTCCCCCAAAGTAACAGAGGAGCAACTTAGAAAATAGAGGTTTTGTAATAAAGACTTACTGTAAAATAGCTTAGATAATAAGCCCGGTTAGTAAATCTATTTTGTCAAGAAAAGTGGTTTCTCCACCAGACTAATAACATCATCAAAGCTGAGAGAGACTGGAACCTGTAAACACCTAAGCCCTAAGGTTATTCCGAGAATATATGTAACATGGAAAAATGTCTCCAAATAGCTGTATAGTTTGGATGTATTATTCTTTAATTTTTGGGTTCATGTGATAGTATTTAAATTAGGACTAAAGTTGCTGCTGCATTTATGTATTAATTTTTGAGTTCTATTTCCTACCTGAAACCTAACAGACTCCAGGCAGCTTATCAGATTTACAGTTCAGTAACATATAAATAAAATGTATTAGGATATTTAGCATTCATAGCACTTTACAGAACTGATTTCACATCATTACAGTCCTAATTGTCTCCATATTAGTAGAATTAAAGTAATTGCTCCAACTACTTTAATTTTCATTATGCTTTTATTCCATTTCTATTTGTTACAAGTTTTCTTTTAACGTGTGTTTACATTTTCATTGCTCATTCGGCCTATGCTATCTTAAATTTTCATTGTGAATTGCCTGGAATACTTTGTAAGACAGAATACAAACCAAGTAGCAACCACAGTACGTAAGGGTCCCTACTACACTGAGCACAGGCTTTGTGTAAAGACAATTCTGAGCTCTCAAGTATCAAGAAGCAAGCAGATGATGTTAAAGTCCTTTGGCTGAGACTTTGGTCAGAAACAGATTTGGGCTACTATTGATGAGAGAATCTGATCAGCTATTAGACAACTTTCTGTGTTGTTACTCTCAGCTGCCATCACATTGACCAAGATTTTCTTATGACACCATACTCTGAGGCCCAACACAAGAGGGAAGCAAGTAAGTGAACCTAAGCTCTTCATCTCACACAATATGTTCAAGTCTAGTATTGCCTTGTCTAGTTTCCAGGAATAGCAGAGACTCAAAGGTCTGAGAAATTGCCATGGTGTAATCAGGGCAAGTCCTTTTCAGAATTTGTTCCTATTTGTCACTGTCCTTTTTAAACTGTGGTCCCTGAAATGAAACAAGTACACCAAATGGGGTCTAAGTCAAAGCAGAGTAGAACAATTACTTCCTGCAACTTGGACTCTGTGCTACTGTTAATGCTTCCAAATACAACATTTACCTTTTTAGAAGCTGCATCACATGTCTGGCTCATTTTAACTTATGGTTGACAGAAATATCCAGATCCCTTTCACATATACTTGTGACAAGACAGGATTCAATATTTTTCCTTATATTTTCCTACTTGAATGTAGAACCCTACATTTCTCATTGCTAAATTCTATCCTATTCATTTCCATCAGCTCCTCAAATCCATCTAGATCATTTTGAATTTTCTGTTTCATTATTCCCAGCTTTGTCTTCTGCAAACTTGATAAGTATCTCAACTTTGCTATCCAAGTCGTTGCTAAAAAATGTTGAACATCACAAGGCCAAGCTCTGTGGCTTTCCACTCAACTTCCCTCCAAATTGGAGCCATTAATGAGCACTATGTGCGTGTGTTCATTCAGCCTACTCTGAGTCTATCTAACAGTAGTATCATTTAGACCTTATTTTACCATTTATGAGGACTATCGCATTCTGTCAAAGGCTTGCTGAGATCTGGGTACATTATATCTATGGCAATCTGCTGATTTACTAAGCTAGTAACTCTATGAAAGAAAGATTTAAGATTAGTTTGGTATGATTTGTTAGTGACAAATCCATGCTGGTTCCTCTTAATTTAGAATGCCTATCCAAGTGCTTTCAAACATGCTGTTTGATCATCTGTTCAAAGATCTTGCCCAGTATAGATGTCAAGCTGACAAGTCTGCTGTTTCTCAGGTTCTCCTTTCCCATTCTGAAAATGGAGATGACATTTGTTCTCCCCCAGTCTTCTGGGACCTCACCAATTCTCTAGGAGCTCTCAAAGATTACCAGGAGTGGTTCTGAAATCACATCCACTTCAGGAGATCCCAGGTGTTCCTTTAATATCCTGAGATGTAATTCATCCAGCCCTGGAGACTTGGAATTCATTTAAATTAGCTAAGTTCTCTCTTACCCTATCCTTCTAAGCTGCAGTTCCCTTACTTAGTGGCAAAATCACGATCAGCTAAATCTCCATTTCCTTTTTGAGAAAACAGATGCAAAATATGAGTTAGCCAGTTCTGTCTTAGTGCCTTCATCCTTTACCATTTTGTTACTCACCCATGGACCTTCACTTTCTTCAGTTATCCATTTATTTCTAACATACCCAAAGTACCCTTTTTTGATCCTGTTTGGTATCTCTTGGAAGCCTCAGCTCATTCTAGTTTCTGGAGACAGCATTGTATTCTTTTATGTTCTCCTTTCTTTGCCCATTCGTGCTATTTCCTCTTCAGCATTTAGAGACCTCTGTACATATCCATGAAAGCTTCTTGAGAGTTCTTCCATTTTTCCTTCTTGTGGGATTGTTTGTGACTGTTCCTTCTGTATCTCATTTTGTAGAATTTTCTATCCTTTGTCTCTTTTAGGATTTTATGCCATTGGATCTGATTTAGCTTCCCTTGGAGTTCATCACAATCTCTTCTGAAAACTCTTCTGTTTCTCCTCCTGTGGATATCATATTCAAGGATAATAAAATCACTTTCCCTAAGGCATCAGTCGCCTTCACTTCTTCAACCATTTTCTCCCAATTGGTGAGAATTTTACCCATGATAGCAGACCCCCTTGTTCTTTCTTCCACTTCTGATATTTGGCAGAGTTTGATTTCTTGCAGACATTAGGATAATTGAAATTACCCATTATCACTATTGCCTACCTCCTTGAAAAACTGCTTTGATGCAGAAAGACCTCACCTGTACCTTCTGCTGCCCAAGAAGTCAGTAATAAACTCCCACAATATTATTTTGTTTCTCTCCTTTTATTCTTACCCAGATACCTTCAGCAGGATTTCCATGTTCTGATTCCTGAAGGCAAGAATTGACACTATAGATCCATTGTCTAGAGTCAAATTCACTGTGGTGGAATATAAATGTAATAAATAATTTGTATTAAGCAAACCTGTTTATAACTCATTTAATGTTATTTATTAAAGTTAAATTATATCTTTGTTTAAATACTAAGTGATTATGCCATTTGGTATCTGCCCTAGTCACGTTATCCCAAGATCATAAAGAAACAAAGGAGAAAAACAAAGGAATTCCTAAACCAGGAAAAGTTTGATGGTTGCAGCAAGACAAATAGTTCCTTTAGCTATCTTCCAGTTAATAGGATTTGACTTAAGTTTGAAGAACAAAGAGGTAATAAAAAGATACCTACAACTGAGAGGATACATGACAAGCCCCCTCAATGGAAAATTGCTTCTCCTTTTTTCTATGTTTGATTTACATATTTGTATATGGGATTCCTGGGCATCATTCAGAACGCATCCTCTTGTGCCTCCAGGCTGTTAATTGAGCCACAAAATGCTATTCCTTGGTCCCTTAGGAGGAAACAGGGTGCTTTATCTAGGAGATGTAACAGAAATTAAGCAATTTTGCCCTTCCATTAAGAACACAGATTCTTGTGAATTAATTTAAAACTATTTCTTTTTGTGGAAAACACAAATGAAGCTATAATAAATGAACTTAATATAGGGTTCTTCTATTAGCACAGCCTTTGGGAAACAAATTCCCCTTCTTACCATATTGTCCATCGTCAGAGTGCTGTTGTATGCATTTATTCACAGCATTTAAAAATGCAACTCTAACTTGGGTCTGCAATCCAGGCTGGAACAAAGGTTATTCCCTTGTGCCAGTGTCAAGATTGTGTTTTAGCACAGTTGGCTTCACACTACCCTATACACACACACACACACACACACACACACACTCATATATATAAAAATGTATAGAAATAAAAGTAGGGGAACACTATCCATGCAATGTCTTGTGGAACATTTCTTTATTATCCTTTATTGTGAGAAAAGCCAAAAAGTGAAATTGCAAATATGCTGAGACTCCACTATCAATCAGAGACTTGTGTTATACTATAGCATGTCTTACCATGACAGCTGTAAGAAGGTCAGAAGAAGTAGTAGTATTTTTGGTTTGACAATCTTCCCCTTCCAAGCTAAGGAACCATACTTAGGTTCCATTTTCCTAAGTCTCCAGAGTTACACTGATCTTCACAGAAGTACAGGTAGAAATCTGTAAGTTACATGGAACAAAGAAACTTTGTCCAGTTGCAGTTGTAGGAAAGGGCTCTAATTTAATGACAACTAGCATATAGAAATTCTGGGGTTCAATCCCCAGGTATGGTGTGGAACCCTATGGATCTTTTATTAATCTATTTTAAACATTACAATGTAAGAAAGATCAATGGCCTAATTGCCCACATTCCACTGTGCAGTCTGATTCTCCCTTCTGCTCAAACATGCGATTTCAAATGATGAACAAAGAAACAATACCCAACAAGGCTTAAACTTTAAACACAAAAATATTTTATTAAAAAATAATGTACATATTTTAGGCAACACACGTGCACAGATATTAAAAAAAAGACCCTGATGATGAAAGGCAAGTCAATTCTCTTCCATAAGGCGATTGGCAACATTTCTGCACCAAAAGTTAGCCTCTTACATTATTTTCAGACTAACGTCTGTCAACATCCTCTCCCCCAAATGCCTGTGTGCATGAACAAACCTGCACATTTCAAAACGTGTCTGCCCCAGAAGAGTCTGAACTCCCATGAACTGAACTGAAGCTCAGAGTTTTGTCCTCTATGTCAGCAGATGGTACCTTCACAGATACTTTAGCTGGTGCAGGAAGGGAACTTAAATGGGGTATGACTTCTGTCCCTGAAACAGAGAGAACATTTAGTCATTTGCAGGCCAAGATGTGAAAAATGCCATCTGACTTTACCATCTTCATTTTAGAAAACACTGAGATCCTGCACTTGTCCACTGCCAAAAAAAATCATTAGACTTGCAGAGGGAGCTAAAATGGTGATTCAGATTTTCCTAGATACATTAACATCTGGTAGCAATGTACAATACTAATAACACTTAAAAGGGCTATTTCTTTCTCCTAAAAAAGTGGGGAAAACTTCTTTCCAAATACAAAACTGAAAATCAATAATTAGATCATTTAAATTAAGTACAGTAACATAGATTATTAAAATCATTACTGTGATAGCTAAAGATCAGATCTTATCTATGGACTCGATTTTGGCAGCCTTATTCAGCCAATAGATTTATATATTTTCAGTCTGTTAAAATAATAGCTTCCAATTATGTTCCAGCCTGCACATTCAAACCAGAGTTTTGTAGGAACACTGTAGGAATGAATATATGTTTAAAGTTTATTCAATAGTCTTTTGGCTTTTTGTGTTAATACTGGCTGCACAAGAGCAATCTTACCACTGCATTGAAAACAGATCATTCTCCTTCTCTCTCTCTCTCTCTGGCTCTATATAGCAGATGCTTAGCTAACTTTGTCTGAAACTGTACCGAAAAGTAAACACAGAGCAGGAAACTATTGTTATACTATGACATCCAATGACTGGATGTAAGCTTGGCTAATACAAGGCTCACGGTTGTAAATGATAGTTGAGGAATCTGAAAATGTTGGTTGCGTTCCAGGATCAGACTTTGGATTGGTCTGCATTACTCTCAAGGCAAGCAAAATTATAATCTTCTTTTCTCATTAATATGCATAGGAAATTACATTTTCTCTTCAGTTCTAAAGGGATTGAAAACTCTCTCCCCTTCCCTTGCTTAATTATCTAGCATGACTATGCAATGGCAGAAGATTTATGTAATCTGTTCCATATTGTGCTTCAGAGACTAATAATAAGCTGGTCAGAACTGACATGAAAGTTTCTCTTTTAATGTTGTATTCAAGAGATGGGTGTCAGTTTCTAAAGTCTCCACCTGGATAGCCCATAGTGCACCTCCAAAAAATCTACATCCAGTCAATCTTGTTGAAAGAGTCTCGAGAAAACCAAGTTCTTTATTACACCTTGGTGTGACATTCTGCATCCTATTCTCATGTAAGATATTAGAATAGGATGGGGCAATCTTTTCTTTTTGCTATTGAGGGTTACTGTCATCTCAGACATAATCTGCTGGATGTAACATGGTGCGTTCAGCTGAAGGGAGTAAGTTGAAACATCAATTCTCTCTCAGAGTCCCCCTGCTTCTCCGTCATATACTTCTATTTTCTCCTCTCATTCTCATTTTGACACAGGCTGCAGAGAAGGGACAGCTTTTATCATAGGTCTGAACCGATCTTTTACAGAGAACTTTGGATACTAAACTGTGGATTGCACACTGCCACCACTACACTAGGCATGTGACATTTCAGTGAGTTCACATGCAAATGGATACCAACGTGGTCAGGGAGAATCTCTTTCCTCGATCTTTTGAAGAAAGAAGTTTGAGACAAGATGTGTATATTGAAGTTAATGTTCACTGTATACCATTCTCAGAACAACCATACAAATTTTCCGATCCCAAGAGAAAATTGCAATGCTTAAGAGAAGAATAAATCTACTATGGCAAATATCTTTATTATATTTATTGCTACAGGTGTATTCCAAAATCTGACATTTCAATTTTTATTTGCTACTTCTTTGTAGTTTCTGTACTTTTCTTTCAAGATTGAATGACAGCTGCTAGATGGTGGTGCAACACAAAAGAAGGTTCAAATGTCATAATGCAACTGTATGCTTTATAAAGATGGTGTTTAAGCAGTGCAGCCAGAAGGGCTAATGCATTGCATGTATCCTTAATGGCATTCTTCACAGTTATCACCCAGCGTAACGACATAAGGGCTGTTCATTTAACTAAAAAACAAAAAAAGCTAAGAAAACTGAAGAATGCTCATTTGGCTGCAAGCAAAAATAGAGAGTCTAACAAGATGTTGAAAATGCCATATGTAAGCACTAAACCTAACAATTTAAAAACATATTTTATATCAATAGATTTTCAACTGTGAACTCGGAATCCTGTGCTTCCTCTAAAAGCTTACCAGGCTTTTCTCAAAGGTAAGGGCAAGCAATTTTTGGGGTTTGAGGCCCAAATGTGACCTTTGAGTGGATATCAACGATGGTATTCCCCCCAAAACTGATGGGTTCAAGGAAAAAAAAAAACCAGAATTGATTTGACATAACTTTGTTGACTAAACTATAACAAAATATAACATGGCTTAGCAAGATATATTGAAAATCATTAGAGAAAGCATTAATACTGCCTGCTTTGTTTTAATCTACATTTATATAAATCTTTATTGGCCTTCACAAACTTGGCACCCTCTGGATGTTTTGGGACTTCAAGCACTAGAAGTATATTCCTATATTTAATATATATTATCTTAAATTAAATGACTTTTGACTACTGTAGTATTTTCAAAGTTGGATTTTTTTTGGGGGGGGGGCAACATACCCAATTAAGTGACTTCACAATTTTGACAGATGTCTTCATGCTTACAAAAAACAAAACAAAACAAAACAGATTCTAGGCCTACATCATCCCCATCTTTCGCAGCACTAAAGCTATTAAAGCCCATATGGCTCAGATATTTGCTAGCAAGTATGTCTATACATATACTCATTTGTGGGATTAATACATCAAAATCTTCAAAAAGTGAAGGTTTAATCAACTGAATTAATTTAATTTCAATGATTTTAATTAATGACTCCATTAGCACAGCTTACAATTAACAAAACAAAATTCAATTATAGAAAATCAATAGCATCAGCGTAATAGCAGGTAGGGCCTGATATATCACGCACTCCAAAAATGTCCTATTGGGATTAATACATCAAAATCTTCAAAAAGTGAAGGTTTAATCAACTGAATTAATTTAATTTCAATGATTTTAATTAATGACTCCATTAGCACAGCTTACAATTAACAAAACAAAATTCAATTATAGAAAATCAATAGCATCAGCGTAATAGCAGGTAGGGCCTGATATATCAGGCACTCCAAAAATGTCCTATATTTGGTCACAGAAAAGCTTTCTTCTTCTTTCTCCTGCTTTCTCTTTCAGAGCTACAAAAACCGTATTATCATTCCATGAAAATCTATCCTCAGAACAGCTGAGATTCTGTTTCAGAACCATCAACCTCCAGGCCCAAAGACGGTTACAGCCCTGAAGGGCCAGTGGTTCAACTTCAAATTGCAATTGTTATTTATTTATTTATTAATAAATACGTAAAAATAAATAATAAATTGCTTTTACCCAGTTTGTATTAATTACACCTGTTGTCAGAGCTCCCATTGTGGCAAATCAGACACTTTTCAAACACAAAATGTCTGAAAGCAGCACAGTATAACAAGTTTGAGAAGAGTCTGAAAATGGCTTCCATATGAAGGATGCTAGGGTGCTTCCTTTTGACATTACCCAAGCCTACTTTAGCCATCCTATTTCATTCTTTTAATCTGTCCCATGCCAACTATTCATCCTTCTCTAAATAATTATCTTTACATAATAAACCTCACTATATTTTTCAACAGAATAAACCCTTCGAATGGTCCTTTGAAGAAACACATGATTTTAGTTTAGTTTAGTTTTCTGCTACAGTTCATGAATAAGCTTCTTTTCACACTGAGAACATTTTGCTCCTGACATATATGTTGCTGCTGCATTCTGCCCAGCACTTAATTTTAATGTTTCCCCCAATTATCAGTCCTGCTTTCATCTACCATCTGATAATGTTTTACACACTCTAGCATGGGGGTTGACATTGTTAATCATAACACGGCCACTGGTTTAGGACATCCAGCCAGGTTGGTTAAATGAACCTAAAACTCAGAGAAGAACAAAAATGCAATAAAGATTTATAGATACTTTCTCTAAGGTACTGCTTCAGTTGCATTTTAGGAGCATTCAAAGCAAAATGAGATTGCTCCTCTAGCTTAGGCACAAAAATCACTGGCACTTATTGACAGCTTTCATGATTAAAATGACAAATGACTCCATACACTGGAATCATCTATGAGCATTACAAAATTTATGTACTTTCACGGCTTCAAATCATCAAATACATACTACCAGCATAAGAGTGCAGAATTAGTTTGCTTAGTCCTAGAGATTCCCTAAATGGGTGAGCCTCTTGCTTAATGTTTATATGGATTTTACTCTTTGGAGGCTTTGTAATGCTGCTCTTCTTCCCAGATTTTACTTTAAAAGAAGAAAGAACAGTTTGGATTTCTTCCTACAGAAGCCTTCCCTTACTTACTGCCTCTCCAGATATGTCTGATTACAATCCCTCACCACCCCTCAGACAACATAACCAGTTACGGATGACAGGAATTATGGTCTGACATATCCGGAAGGCATCAGGTTGGGGAAAGACGTCTTGAAATAAGGAAAATGCCTCCTCACAGATATATAAATGTGGACCCCGCACTATTACCATCTTCTCAAATATGTCATTCAGATAGTAGATTTTCAGCTTGTGTAATTTCTCAGCCAGCATGGCCATCATAGTGGAAGTCCAGCACTTCTAGAATTCACCAAATTGGGAAGCCTGCATTATCACAACTAGAAATGGACATGCAGTATACTAACATAAAGACTGCTCTTATGTGTTTTTACATTTTACATTGACCAACTGGAAAAGAAGATGCCCTAAAACCCATACATTGCCCAAATCACCCAACTTAATCTGTTTTCTCTTTGTTTCTTAGGAAGGTTCTCTACACTTAGAGCTTTTAGAAACACTTTTGATGGACACATCCATACAGTTATAGCATTTTCTTACTGATGTGACTATAGTCTGTTTTTAAATATTTTCCAACCCCACATATAAGGAGGCAGAGAAAAAAAAATAAACGTATCACTTTTACAA